ATTTATTGTTGTTGAGTTGCTGATGTTGTGTTGCTGTTGTGATCTGATGATCGATTCGGATTATGAGGCGATTTAACTGGCATTCTGGTCCTGTTTAATCATCGCTATGTAATAGAAACGTTTTTTTTTGAATATCTGTAAATCACAAAACGTTTCTACATTTCATAATCGGCATTTATTTGAAATGTTATATCATCAAAATCAAATCGAGCATTTGCCTTCACGATATATAGGATCCTCATTTAGGAGTAACGGGAATAACACTCAATACTTAATTCCTTATGGTGTTTGCGTTCTGTTTTGCATGTTCATGAATAGAAATGCTGTGTGCAATTCGGTTTGTAGTTTTGTACGGTTTGCTAGAGGAATATTTAGTGAGAATGAGTCGTGCTTATAGCAAATCGCTGAATTGTTTGGCGTGAACGATGTCCGATTATATTTTTACTATTAGCTGACGATTCAATGTTGGATTTAATTTAGTACACTGAGCCATTCGAAAATATTCTCACCTATAATTTGCCTTCCTCGTCTGTTGTAAGCTGCATTGATTCCTCACTATCTGCACAAACTCGTGGCATGCATTCTCCGCTACCTTCAAAATCTCACCTTGTTGGAAATCGTACTAGTTCTAGATGTGTTGATTCCAAACCTACTGCTTTTATACATGCTAACTGTTCAATCGCATTCTATCCTATCAGAGCAGTTCTTCCGGGACTGCTCAGTACCAATCGAATTTANCAACTAGAGTCGCCGCAGTTTGTAGGACTACAACAATTTCTGCACTCCCAACAACCTGATATCGATCAGCCACAAACTTTACCTCAATAACGAAAAGAATGGTTGTTTCAAGAGTTAGAAACTGCTCAGTTATTCAATCTTCAGGATTTATCTTCGTCATCATCAGCGATATCAACAACGCCCTTATCAACTGGTGGAAGATCGCGTGATCTTGGAGGAACTAGTCCTATATCACAGCCAAAAAGCAGCAGTGGTGAAGAAGAGAAACACTCAAGCTTTCCAAACTTATGATCTATTTAACGTCACTGGATGAAAACCTTGATCCACAGCCACTGTTGTTGAACCCGAATACGAGCGGTCTAAATGTTAATATTGATAATAACAACAGTGATAGTAACACTAACGCTAATGTGGCACAAACAGTGGATGTATCACCTGTGCTAGCGCCCGCGGGTAAGATATTCGAACAACTTCGAACTTGCTCACTATTTACAGACTGATTTGTATGTGACGAAAGGTTTGATATGTCTCAACAAATTCTAAAGCTTACTCACAATGTTCTGAACTAATATCATGTTTACATCTACCTATGTTTGAAGAAGTCAGATAGGTGTTATTGGCTGGACTACGGTAGTTCAAACGCAACTAATATTCGTTGTTGCTATGAATAAAGGCATTGAAACGATTCCGTAACTAAGAATTCAAGTGAATAAATTCTGATCGATGTGCTCACGTTCTTGATCATATGGTGTGTTAGAATAAGCAAAAGCTTTTTGGATAAGATTTTCAATAATATTGTTCAAGTTGAAAGTATAAAGTAAT